CCCAGGGGACATCATCTCAGCACCCAAGGGACATCAACCCAGCACCCAGGGGACATCATCTCAGCACCCAAGGGACATCAACCCAGCACCCAGGGGACATCATCTCAGCACCCAAGGGACATCAACCCAGCACCCAGGGGACATCATCTCAGCACCCAAGGGACATCAACCCAGCACCCAGGGGACATCATCTCAGCACCCAAGGGACATCAACTCAGCACCCAGGGGACATCCTGTCCCCAGGGGACATCCCAGCACCCATCGCTCACCAGCTCGTAGGCTCCCAACTTCTCCACAGCTTTGTAGATCTTCCAGAGGTTAACTGGAAACCAAGAGGAGACACGGAAGGTCAAGGGGACCCACTGGTCACCGTAGCCAGGGGTCACCATGGCTGGTGGTCACCGTGGCCACCAGCAGCTCCAGCCACCCCTGGGGACACACATACTCTGCTTGAAGCCCAGGTGGGGGATCCTCTCGATGGGCGTGTGCCGGTCCTTCATGAACTGGTAGAGGCTGATGAGGAAGGCCTCCTCCTCTTCCTTCTCACCTCCTGCTGCCGCCCCGGGGTCCTGCTGGGGCCCATCGTCCTGCTGAGGAGCCTCCTGTGGGACACGGAGGGGTGAGAGGGGCCTGCGGGGAAACTGAGGCACGGCAGGAGCACCAACCCCATCTCCCAGGCCTGGAGCCTCCTGTGGGACCTGGCAGGGGTTTAGAAGGACCTAGGGGCAACCTGAGGCACAGCAGGAGCACCAACCCCATCTCCCAGGCCTGGAGCCTCCTGTGGGACCTGGCAGGGGTTTAGAAGGACCTAGGGGCAACCTGAGGCACAGCAGGAGCACCAACCCCATCTCCCAGGCCTGGAGCCTCCTGTGGGACCTGGCAGGGGTTTAGAAGGACCTAGGGGCAACCTGAGGCACAGCAGGAGCACCAACCCCATCTCCCAGGCCTGGAGCCTCCTGTGGGACCTGGCAGGGGTTTAGAAGGACCTAGGGGCAACCTGAGGCACAGCAGGAGCACCAACCCCATCTCCCAGGCCTGGAGCCTCCTGTGGGACCTGGCAGGGGTTTAGAAGGACCTAGGGGCAACCTGAGGCACAGCAGGAGCACCAACCCCATCTCCCAGGCCTGGAGCCTCCTGTGGGACCTGGCAGGGGTTTAGAAGGACCTAAGGGGAAACTGAGGCACAGCAGGAGCACCAACCCCATCTCCATGGTCTGGAGCCTCCTGTGGGACCTGGAAGGGGTTTAGAAGGACCTAAAGGGAAACTGAGGCACGGCAGGAGCCCCACCCCCATCCTCTGGGTCTGGAGCCTCATAAAGGACATGAGGGGGTGAGAAGGACCTAAGGGGAAACTGAGGCATGATGGAAGCACCAACCCCATCTTCTGGGTCTGGAGCCTCCTGTGGGACACAGAAGGGCTGAGAGGGACCTAAGGGGAAACTGAGGCACGACAGGAGCACCAACTCCATCTTCTGGGTCTGGAGCCTCCTGTGGGACACAGAAGGGCTGAGAGGGACCTAAGGGGAAACTGAGGAACCCAGGAGCACCAACCCCATCCTTGGGCACTGGAGCCTCCTGTGGAACATGGAGGGGCTGAGAGGGACCTAAGGGGAAACTGAGGCACGGCAGGAGCACCAACCCCATCCTCTGGGTCTGGAGCCTCATGAAGGACACGAGGGAGTTTAGAAGGCCCTGTGGGGAAACTGAGGCACGGCAGGAACACCCCCCACC